CCCCCCCCCCCCCCCCCCCCCAATGGCAGGAAAACGTCAATAGTGTCTCCCTTGTGCTGTAACAGCCATACAAGACTTATGTAATATCATAATAACTTTGCCTATTCAATGTGACAATCACAAGAGACTTTGCATAATTTGATATCTCTCCAGTCAGCATCTGTTTCCTTTGAGGAGGAGATGGAGAGTGAAAGCTTTCTCATGTTGATGGGGAAGATAATATAATGCCTGTATCTGTAGAATTTTGATGTGCAGAGCTCCTTGGCTGTGTTCACACTGCACTTGGTAGGATCTGCTCTGAAACGGTCCAGGTTCGGATTTACGATAGGATTGTTTCAATTGTTTTAACTTATGCATGTTCAGAATGTGTGTAATTGTGACTTACAGGTCATATCAGTATGAGGTCTTTTGCTATCATTTCTAATTAATTAAAATCAGCCTCAGCTGAGGAAGTTCTGTCTGAATCTTCAATAAGAATTAACAATCTTTGAAGATTGATCACAAGGAATGCATGCTGTCCACCCAATAAATTGAATGCAATCTATACTTTAGACTTAAAAAGAAGATGCAATGTGAAGTCATTAAACCGAGTCTTAACTGCAGAACAAGTGTAGAAGCTTGTAGTGTGATGGCAGTGTTTCATGATCAGGAGAAGTGTCCAAAGTATTTCACTGCCCGCTGGCCACACAGTGTTAAACCATGTGATGAATGACCAGTCAGTGGACAGCAACACTGTGGGGGGTAATAGCCCATCAACTTGACCATAAGGCACAGACATTTTAGGAGAGGGTGGGCAAAGAGGACTGACTGGGGCAGTTTAGCTTTTTGTTTTGGTGAATTATCTGCTGGAAAAGCTCAGTGATTTTCATGTGTGGAGAGGACATAAAGACGTGTCATGGCATTTAGGTTTTTCTGGATTTCTTTTCTGTCACTTTAGGATGTATTTTGGGAACTGAAAATCACTGGGCAGAGAGAATGTTAGGAGTCTGCAAGTGAGGAAAAATACAGTGGTGGAAAATAGTCAACTAAAATACACTCAGTAAGGAGTCACACTGATTTTGAATACTGTCAAGTGAAGGCTTAGAGAAAATTCACTGAAAAAAAAATATATATAGGCTGTGATATTTCTTGGAGACCTGTAAGATTTTGACCAAGTGGTGTATTTTTACTGCCCTCAAGGTTTATATACCGTGACTGCTAAAGGAATGTACAGACAGTGACAGTGCAGTGAATGTGATGCTGATAAATATGAATTATTGAAGAGGAAAGTATCCCAGGAAGAAAGATCTGTTAAATGCACAGTATTCTGCATAATTTTTCTGAAGGAGTAAAGGGTCTGTAGGAGTGCAAATTAAATCGGGGATAAAAGACTTCTGTAATTGGAGATTGGTGTGTGTGTGTTAAGGAAAAACGCTAGCCAAGAGACAACAATTGGAAGAGAGATATTCCATCTTGTTTAATGACTGTAGTGGTATCTGTTTACTCTCTTGGCTGAACATAAAGTGTGGAATTCAGCTGAAGAGAACATCATGGCTAATAAGAAAATGGCACTAATTTTTGATACAGGTGTCTATGGATGATTTGGGGAAAGTTTCATGCATGTCCAGTACTTGATGTAAAGTTTACCATCGGCATTTTATTTCTGATATTTAAACTGATAAACAGCTGAAAAAAGTTCTATCTGTGCAGTGTTCTGTTATTTAGTTGACATCAGAGAGGAGAGGAGTGATTTTATCACATTCTCTTTTCGGGTGATGGTTATGTCGCATTGTTGAACCACAAAGAAAAAAAAAGAGTGGAAGAAAAAAAGGGAGAAGAAAAAATCAGAAAGGAGAACAGCTGTGGTGTAAAACCTGATCCGTATGTTGTGACATTACCCAGGAAATTTGAAGTGATATGCTAAAAGAATTCACTGAAAGACAGGAAAAGCTTTTCATAAAGACCACTTCTCATATACAGTAACCCCCAAAACAGCTTGGCGCCTCCACAGGGCAGGACAGTGCAAGATAGAGTCACCATCTTGGGATTGCTACGGAGACACTTGAACAGCACTGTTTGATATATTGAATCTGTGATTTTCATTCACCGAGAAGGAGATTAGAGCAGGGGTTTGTCTTTGATAAATTGCAGCATTTTCAAGAGTTTTTATACATTTTTCACAGTTTGGGATTATATATTGAAGAGATATTTGTACTGCTTATGGATTAGTTTTCTGAATTTGCTTCGATGATTACAAAAAAGTGTATCAAAAGAGGAAGACGTAGGGCAATTTGAAGATCTGTAGTAGTGCTTGGTGTTTCTTTTAATATTCGACCTGAAGTAATAACCACAAAGTATTTTTAGCTGGAAAAAAGGAAAAGGACTTTCTTTGGTTTATTGCATGTGCTCTGGACAGAAGGTTTTGAAGATTTGCTACTGTGATTTAAAGAGTTTTTTTTCCGGAATTCACCCCAGAGACCACCAGTGACTCCTTCTGAATCCTGAAGTGAGGCCATTTTTCATTCTTTCTGACCAAGACCATACAAAGGTTCTATTTCTTTGAACATTCTCTCCTTGGAAGAAGTGAATTTTTCATTCCCTCAATACCACAAAGTATCTGGATCGAGAAATTGGATATGTTTTTTGGAAAGGGGTCATTTTCAAAATATTCAGACAATGTGTAATGGCGAGGTGTGCTTGTCAGAGTGGGAGAAGTAGTAGAGCTCTGTGTATTTGAGATCTGTACTGTTTATACTCTGATGTGGAATTGAAGGAACTCTTGACTTGAAATGATGCAGCAAGTGGTAAAAACTGGTGGTTATCTTATAAGAGTCAAGGCATTCTTTTACATTTGGAATTTTGAGGGTGGAAGCCTTTAAAAGCTGGTTATGTGACCAATTTTTGTTCTAGATAAGAAAATATTCTGACTTGTCACTGGGCAATTCTCTGAACTCTCTGAATATAGTGACCGCAAACTACTGACTTAAAAAGAGATATCTAAATTTTCTTCTTTGAAAATGAAAGGAGGAGCACAGGACATAAGAAGATAAATGTCACTCTGCAAGTTAAGCTATAATACCAAAGCTGACTAGCTGGAAATATTTCTGGACAATACCCTAAGAAAGAATTCTAACACACAAAGTACCAATTTACAGAATTACTTGTCAGCAAGCAGGGACTACACTAGCCAGAGTTATTTCTTACAGAAAAACCAACATCAAAATCATCACTTACACTGCAATTTTCTTCTTTGTAAAAGAAAAAGGAAGGAGGGCCACAGGGCCACCAGAAATTAGGAGAGTTTTTTATTATTATTTTAAAAGAGAATGACTGCAGGCCATTGGTCTAGGTGAAAAATAGGAAGAAAAAATTGAGCTGGCATCATTGTGTGTATTTGTATGTAATATGAGCAGAGCTTCCATCTGTTCTCAACCTTGTGACAATATGAGCAGAGTTCAGTACGGGACTATTAATTTACCCTCAGAAAATATGGACTATTTAGATAACTATGTGTATGTGTACTTTTTGAAAAAGCCCAGGAAATATTACCAAAGAAGAGTGAGTATTTTAGCTTTTTTTTTTTTTTTTTTTTTTTTTTTTTTGGGGTTTTTTTTTTGGGGGGGGGGGAGAGACATTGAAAATCTTGATAATTTGATTTGATTCTCTCAAATCCATAAAATATTTTGTAAACTATATATAATCTATTGCAATATAGGATACATTGTCAACATTTGGGATAATTCAATTATGAGGGAATTTTTTCCCCTCAAATCCTGGCTTTAATAGAGTAAAGTAAGTAACACTCACCAAGGATTATAATCTTATCACTAAGGAAGTGATATATGACATGCTAGCATAATAATCTAGGAAGGTATTTAATCATCAGACATGGTCTGGCATGTTATTAAACAATTAAGACTGATATGGCATAGTTTGTGCTCATCAGGGAAGTTATCGGATGATATTCCTAATTGTTGTAATAAGTGAATGATTAGCTTTGGTCCTTTGTGAATTAATTAATGCAAATTTTGTTTGAAATTAGAAATTAGAATTTCTCAGTAATATCAAGAGGGAGCAGGAAATCTTTGCTGTCTCCTTTGAAAGTTCTTGAGGTTGAACAGTATTTATTTATTTATTGATTTATTTATTTTCATAATTCTGTACGGATACTGAATTTTTTTTTTTTTTTTTTTTTTTTTTTTAAGGGAAGAACGCATGGTGTTTTTCCAGCTTCCAAACAATATTTCTTGTAGACGGTAGTAATATTCATTATTTTGCTTTTTGGTTTATTTCTTTTATTCTCTGCAGTTCCTGCTTTTCTGGTCCTGTTTTCCTTTAAATAAAGTACATTTCACCTTGCAGTTATTTTGAGCATGGGGATTTTTGCCTTAGACCTATACATATATTCACAAGTAAAATGGTCAGTGCTTAAAGTTAGATCTCTTACTAAAAAATGAAAAAAAAATGAACAAAGATTGCAAACACATTCTCTTAAATAGTTATAGAAATTGTACAAATTCTTCTTTTAAAGTAGGTAAATAACCTTCCAAATAAGGTCAGAAACTCCACCAAAATGTAAATGAATAACCCATTGTTAGAATAGGCATGGAATGCGTCTTATCTTTCATGCCATAGATTGAGTGGAAATTAACTTCTACAAGTTGCTGGTAACAAGTTAAATAAGACCTGTCGAGTCAAACAATAAAACATGCAACTTCAAACTGAATTCCAACTTTGAAAAAAGCCCAAGTCATCAAGAAAGTGTGACTAAAGGTGTTTAGTCTTCTTTTTTTGGCAAGTAGATAAGTTGTGAAGTTAAGATTTGCCTTGATAAAATCATTTGCCTTAAAATATTTTGCCTGTATTTTGCACACATTTATTGTCAAATGTCACACTAACCTCATGGTGAATGTCACACTTCTAACAGGAAATAACTGTTGTCTTTAACACATTATGCTGAACTTCAGATAAAGAGGAAAAAATTCTTTGACCCGCTACAATTATATGGCTGACCTAGAACTGCATTGGGTCTTTTCAGGATATATAGAGTTGTTCTGAAAATGTATCAGCCTGAAATAAATATAATTGTATATTTGGTGGAAAATTTATTCCATTTTCTTTTAATTTCCTTTCCAGGCGAAGCATTTTGCAAACAAGGCAAAGCACAAAGACCCAATCGCAGGTGCTGACTCCGCAAGTGGGACTTTTTCTGTGCGCCCACCATCAGCGGCCATGATTTGTTCACCAGGAATTGCCAACAGTGAAAGTAAACCTAGTCAAGACACTTCGGATAAAATAGCAGTGAATCAAAAACGGAGACTCGGTGAGACAAGAGACCATGCAAATGCATCTCAGGACTTAAATACTAAACGAGAATCCAACACCAGTATTTTAAGCAGTTTCTCATTGGCCAATTTCAACTCGTCTAATTCCTCACGGGGCGGAGGAGGTGCTCATGGATCTCCCGTTGTTGCCTTGAAAGAGACGATAGACAGTCAGTTTGTAGGGTTGGTTGGTCAGCCCCTGGGGGCCGAGGCAGAGAACGTTCCGCCCCCTGTCCCCACTGAGCAACCTGAGAACTATTTATACCCTGTCACCATTCTACCGCCACCTTTAGATTTTGGGAAAACAACTGAAGATGGCGTTACTGAGGCAGATGGAGCAAAAGTAAGTAGTACACTTACTTCAGAGTCACTGAAAAATGTGAAACCTTCATCTGTCAAGTAGTTATTTGGCCAGAAATGTTTGACTCTTAAGAATGTGATTCAGAAATGGGATATTTTGAGAAAATGTTTTGGAAGGACTTCAGCTTGGAAATAATGTAATATTAAAAAAAACAAAAGAATCAAATAAAACAAAATAAAAAGAAATTTGCTAAAATGTAACTATATTTATGTGGGACGGACTAGTAATTAAAAATGCCCTTCATTGGAGTGTATTTTGTGTTATGTATCATCGTCACACATTATGTTGATAATTAAATTGTCCCAAATTTACAGTAAATTTATCTATATAGGCTTGGCTCTTGCTGGAAAATCTCTTTTTAGACAGAGATCTAAAAGGGCTTATAAGAATCTATTTTCAACTGGTACTGTAGATTTTGTAAAATTTGTTTCATTTGTTGTGGTCATATAATGCTATACCATTAATTTGATTGCAGACATTTGTGAAAAGAAATTTGCAAACCCCTGTAAGCTTTAACAGTAATCTGAGAGCTAGTGTACCCCTCCCCCCCTCCCTTCCCCCCCCCCTGCCCCACTCAATTCCTCTCTGGGGAAGCGCTAGCACATTTTTTCACTTAGCCAAATCACTACCTTTTTCATCACTTTTTCCTTCCTATGCTTTGAATTTGACTTAAATCAAATCAACCCTATTTTGTTTAGCAGATTTAAGTCAGTTTTAGCATTTGGCTAAATTGGCAAGTGTTAGCGCTACCCCAGCCTCTTCACTGTTGTGATAATTTAGATATAAAGTGCCTTACCTCTTTGTAAGCATTATGGCTCACATACCCTTTCGCTACTGGTGCAGCATGCGACCACATAATCACAGTGTCAGGCAGTATATCACTGTAACTGTAGAACATCAGACTGAGATGAAAACAGACAGTCATTTTAAAACATTTAGGGTCTGGGAATGTAATCCTGTATGCTTGATTTATTCATATTTCTTATATTTTGTATGATTAGTTTGTTTGAATGGTTTGACTGTAAAGAGTCCTTGATAGAGTAAAGTGTTAAGCCTATGGTACCATTTCTTAGTTTTAAATTTGTATTCTTGCTTTGCAGACTTTATCATCTCACATTCTTCTTCCTGTCTGGTGATGGTTTTACTACAAGAAATGTTTACAATGTCAATAAAATAAATTATGACCATTTAAGATTGTGCTGAGACAATTCCAAGTTTGATTTCTTAATTAAATGTCTTTTGAAACGCGTGTTAAGTGATTAGTGAATGATTCAACTATCTTAAAGGTAAATCTGATCTTATTCAGCGTGACGTGACGTGCCTTACTAGTATTAGCCAGTTTTTTTCCCATGTGAGCAAGGAGACGTCACATTTTTTAGTCATTATTTATGCAGAGGGAGGAGTAATCTTTCAACTTTGTAACTTTGTATTTTTCTAAAAAAAAAAATTACTCCTTTGGTACTTAGTACCATCTGCTTATTTGGAACAAGTTGTCCTAGAAATGACTGGCGGATTTCCATTTGTAACTAAAGTGGATTAAGTCTTTATTTACAGTGAAAGAGAAAAGTGTGGGGTAAGTGACAGTTTTTACCTGTGGAAAATGGGAAGTGTTTTCTTTGTTACTGTACCAGCTGGGTATTGGTAGTATGTGCATCAAATTGTTACACAAATGACTGGCAGGTTTCTATTTCTAACTTTAACAGTTGGATTAAGCCTTAACTGATTGTCAGGTGCAAAAGAAAAAAAGAGATATAAATGAATGATAGAAATTAGGAGCAAGTAGCGGTTAATTTTTACCTTCGTAAAAAGGGGCAATTTTTACCCTGCAAAGCGTGAGCCTAGCACCGCCAGTGACCGAATTTCTTCTGGGACTGAATGAAGCTAATACAGATGGATTAAGCCTGAGATGCATTGTTAAGGGAAGAAAAGTTAAAGGGTAAGAGTATATCTGTGTAAAAAGAGGTTAAGTCCCCCTCAGTCAGACTACCAGTTAAGCTTAGCACCAGTTGTCATGGAAATGACTGCCAGACTTGAAAATTTGTAGCTGTAACAGTTGGGTTCAGCTTTAAACATGGAGAAAAAGGAAAATAGTTAAAAGGGGTGAGTATATAAATATCTATCTCTCTGTATTAGAGAACAGACCACAGCTGTGGTGGTTATGTACAATGTATGAGTATAGATTTCAGCAAAGATTTAATGTGTATGCTAATTCAAAATAGTTGGAGCATCATTTTTGCTCTGAAGAAAACCTCGGAAGAAAACCTTACTATATATATTAAATTCATTATAACCGTGATATTTTTGGAAGAAAGTAACATATAACTTGATTTAAATTTTCTTTACCACAACGCTGAAATGGAGAACTGTTTCTTTCTACAGAATAAATATTTAAATATATACCTGATCATTAAAGGGGTAGACAGAATATTTTCAGCATAAGCAGGATACAAAGAGTCCTGGGTCAGGGCTTCCAGCAAAAGGAGACAAAAGCACCTATGAAATATAACACAAACACACTGGATTAAAACTTAGAGGAAAAGAGCATATTGTACCAGGTTGAATAAAAGGGGGAAGGGACAGACTGCCTTTAGGTGAAGTCTTTCCATCATGCAACGGGGGAGAAAAGAATGCAGCACGTATACTATAATATATATTAAATATATACAGTATATAATGAGAGCAGAGGATTATAATACATGAGAGAATAACTTCCATGTTTATGGTCAGTAATAGAATTGTTGAATTGTTTATTTGTCACTGTTTACGCTCGTGACCTTGAATACATTCCATTTATTTCCTAGTTATTTGAGGAGAAAGGCTTGAAAGGGCCGCTACCTAATGGGGTGTACATGTTGGGTAGACATAGCTAAAGCTCTGGAAGCGTTCAAATTACGTACTGCCGCAGTGGAGGGGGATGTGTTTTTGAGGGCAAGTTTGAGATAAAGCGGAGACGGAGACGTGTACCGATGGTGGGATTAACGGGGAATTTAGGCGAGGTTTTATACTTTCTGCGGTTGTCTATTTCATAGGTGGAGGGGGGTGTGACAGGTCAGACAGGTAAGGTTATGGGAAATTTGAGGCTTTTTTAAGAGGTTTGTATGTTTGAGAGAGAGAGAGAAAGATTGTGTGTGCTGTGTGTGTGTGTGCGTGTAAGAGAGAGGGAAGTGTGTGTGTGTGTGTGTGTGTGTGCATGTGTGTGTGTGTAAGAGAGAGAGAGAGGATGTGTGTGTGTGAGAGAGAGAGAGGATATGTGTGTGTGTGTGTGAGAGAGAGAGAGAGAGCATCTGTGTCTCTTGTCAGCAGTTCTACCAGTTGTTCTTAATTTTACGCTGTTGTGTTATAGATTCATCAGAGATTCCAAATGTTTTACAGGGGAAAAGTGCCACATACATCATAGTAAAAGGTGTTAATAGCAGATGTATTGAAAACTAAAATATTGGTTGTAATTCTACCCAATTCTCTGTGTAAGTGAAATCATCAAAAACCCAAACAACTTAAAAAGTGCTTACTCAGTGGATGTTCATTCAAAGGATAATAGAGAAATGCCATATTTTACTTTGTGGAAAAAAAGGAGTGATTTAAGAAGGTAAAAATGATTTACAACTTATATGCTATTTAATGTAAAAATTCAGCTGATACTAATTCATAGACCCTAATTTTCACAAACCAAAGCACCCTGGCACATATGTATAAAGTTACACCTACTTAACTGGAGAGAAAGCTGGGAATTAGGAATTCAGAATTTGGGAGTACATAAGTCAACGGATTTTTAACCTTAAGCAGACTAAACAAAGCTGACAGTTTCTTTAGGAAGGCAGACTTCCCTCCTCTGTGGCTGTGTCAGTAGGGGGCAGGTTAGGGCAGGACTAGTGTTACACCTGTGATAAATTAAAGAATGCAAGAGGGAGACCGAGGGGGGGGGGGGGGAGATATGAGGTAGTGAGAATTCATTAAAGGAGGGTAAGGACACTTGGATACTGTGAACATTTATTTTCATTGGTTGAGGTTTCTGTTTAGATTAGTGTCCCAACCTCCAAGAAAAAATAGGAAAGAAAATAATAATTATCAGAAAAAAAAATAATTTTGGCAGTGCTAATTTTTAGCATTATCTTGTAAAAATGATGAACAGTATTAACTTACACGAAAAGTCATGTCTAGGCATGAACCTTAATGAACATTGTGCACAGGTATGGCATACGAAACAAGCTGCCTTCTTGACATGTATATTATACTTCAGGCTTTATTTATGTAAAATGGCTTGTATGTTATATGTTTTGTCCTTTTGTTTGTGTACGTATGTGTGCCAGCATGTGCATTGTGTCCTTTTGTTTGTGTACATGTGCATGCCAACATGTGGTTTGTGTCCTTTTGTTTATGTACGTGTGCGTGCCAGCATGTGTGTGCCACTGTGTACCTGGTACCTCAGAATCTTAAACACCGAGATTTAGCTTGCTTGTCACAACAGTTTGCAATAGATCTCGTCTGAACGTTAACCTTTTAAGACGGCCCAATACAGACAACAAACTACCTTGTACGTTTAGTAATAGTATCCCTGCGTCTTTTATGTTCTAGCCCCGGAGAAGAGATTTAGCTAGTCTGTCTACCACGTAAGACAGAATGTTGTCCCCCCAGTGTTTTTATTGCTGGAAGATTAGGTGTTATGGTGACAGCGTAACAGTTGATGCTTGAAATTACCCAATAAACTCCGGCATTGTTGTTCTGATGACTGATAAAGGTAGGTTTACACTGGGGGAAATCTGGATTGCTTTTGGATTGCACCAGGATTGGTCTTTTTGCGATGGTTTTCTGTTTGCTGCTTCCTATGATGACTGATTAAGGTAGGTTTATACTGGGCAGTGGGGTGAAATCTGGATCATTCCTATGGACCTATTGCCATGGCTCTCAGTCAGGATTCTTGCTTATAACTGATTGAGTTTCATTTACACTGGAGAAAGTCTTGCTGGCTCCTGGTTCGTATTAGG